ACACTTCCATACAATCACACACGTTATTACAATCACCCACCTTGGCGCGTGCTGCAAGGATGATGGAATTTGACGACCGCATGTCCAGACTCATCATTGCAGGCACACCTCTCCTTCGAGTGCCCCGACCACAGTGACTCCGAAGACGACGACGCCAAGGGAAGCCAGCCACGCAAGGAGAAGCAGTCCACCAAGACGTCGACTTCGGCGAAGGACGACTCCTTTGCTGGCGGCAAGGGGCGGGACGACAAGACGGCGTCGTGCTCGCTGGCCGGCGTCGTGGAGCCGATCGTCTCGCTGGCGCCGGAGGCAGGAAAGGACTTCCAGGCGATGGCGGCAGCTGTGCAGGCGAACCCGGTGGTGGTTTTGCTCGACAGCGGCTGCTCCCACCACCTGATGGGGACGAAGGAATTCTTCGTCGACCTGCAGCCGAGCGGCTCCATCAAGCACGTGCGTGGCTTTAATGGGGTGCTGCAGGACGTCCAGGGCCGCGGCACCGTCGCCCTGCAAGGGGAGGCCAAAAAGCAGGTGCTCATCCCTGACGTGCTGTACGTCCCAAGTGTCCGGGAAAACCTGCTGTCCTCCGGCCAGCTGAAGGAGCATGGCGTGAAGCTACAGGAGGACGGCGACGGGATGCTGCTCGTCTCGGCAACAGGAGAGGTGCTCGGTCGAGTGACGTACTCCGGGCGTGTCCTCTGCACCAACCTGCATCCCTGCTCAACGAGGTCGATGTCGCCCACGCAGGAGGTTGTGGCCCTGCGGGGGATCGTCTCGAAGACGAAGTCGACACCGGACAGGGTGCATGTGAGGCTTGCGCACGTCGGCATGGACACCATCCGGAGCTCCGCGAAGCACGAGGTCGCCACTGGGCTGGACCTCAAGTCGGCGTTGGGCGCCGACTCACCGTATGTCTCGTGCGTCGGCGGGAAGCTGGCATGGCACTCCTTCCCCGACCAAGGCTCCGACGCTGACGACGTGCTGGCCGTCGTGCACATCGACCTGTGCAGGCCGTTCTGCGTGACTATCAAGGATGGCAGCTTGTACTTCTTGCTGCTCAAGGACCGCAAGACCTGCTACGTGTGGGTGAGGCCAGTCGCCAAGAAGTCGGATGTGCTGCTGGAGTTCCAGAAGTGGCTGGTGTTGGTGGAGAGGCAGACGAACAAGTCGGTGCTGATGCTTCGCTCCGACCGAGGAGGGGAGTTCCTCGGAAAGAAGTTCACCGACTTCGTGGACGGCAAGGGGATCGTCCACGACCTTACTTGCCCGTACACCCCGCAGCAGAACGGCATGGCGGAGCGGGAGATGTGGATGGTGGTGGAGTCGGTGCAGACAATGCTTCTGCACATGGGCGTGCAGCACCACTTGTGGCACCTCACTCTACGGCAGGCCGTCTGGGTCCGCAACTGCCTTGAGCGGTCAACGTTGACACCGGGGACGATGCCGTACCAGCTGCTGACCGGACAGAAGCCCGACTTGTCGATGGCGCGGGTGTGGGGCTGCATGGCGCAATTCCTTGTCCCCGAGCAACAGCGTGGTGAGAAGCTGAAAACGAAGGCCAGGTGGGGCCTTCACCTCGGCGTGTCAAAAGACAGCAAGGGCTGGGAGCTCCTCGACATCGATGCCAACCGGATGGTCACCACGTTGGATGTGGTGTTCTACGAGGATATGTCGCTGGAGGTGTGGAAGTCGGAGCACGGGCAGGTGTCAGGTCGGACGCCGACCGCCCCGTCGACCGATACCTCGACGGCGACGCTGCCGCTGCTCGCCGAGGTCAGTGAGCTTGCTGATGAGGACGCCGAGGTCGTCCATCCTCTTTCACCTTCCCCTATGACCCTTGCCCCTCCCCTCGTGGCCGACCTGCGCGGGCTGACTCCTGTGCCGGCCTCCGGCAATGAGGGGAGTAGTGGGACGTCGCCTTTGGCGCAGGCCAAGGGCATCGCCGGTGGCCGACGTGACGAGCGGCAAGTCGACGTCGGGGAAGAGTAGGTCGAGGAGGAGCAGCCGACTTGGGTGAAGCCGGCAAAGAAGGCACCAGCAAGGCAGCAGCCGATAGGGGAGCAGGGAGTGGTGACGCCGACCACAGAGCAGTCGGCAACCAGGCAGTCGGCAGAGGAGCCGACCACAGGGGAGAGGTCGACCAGGAAGTTGACCGAGGTGCAGCACGACGACAAGGACAGTGAAGACGGTGACGAAGGAGGGGACGCCGGGGAGTCCACCAAGAGTGACGTGGTGGACGTTCGGCCTAAACCCCGGAAGTCGGGCAGACTTCGGAGGCCGCCGGACTTCTTCGTCCCCGCTGCCTTCAACACGGTGTACGACGTGGACGATGATGACGACGCCCTGTTGTACGACGACGCCGAGGAGGATGAGGAGTTCTCGGAGCTCGACCCTGACATGCTGGCCGACCTCGAGCATCGTTGGGACATCTCGACGATGACGGTGAAGGAGGCGTTGGCGAGTTGGAAGGGCCCGGCAGTGAAGGCCGCCATGGAGGAGGAGATCCGCAGCCTCATCAACATGGGCACTTGGGAGCTGGTAAAACGCCTGCCGGGGGTCAACATCATGAAGAACCAGTGGGTGTTGACAACGAGGAGGCACAGGAGTGACAGGAGGAGGAGTACCAGCAGAAGGTCGGCTCGCTGCAGTTCGCGGCAACGATGACGAGGCCGGACATTGCCTTCGCCTAGGCCAGCAAGCTAGGGAGCGGCCTCACGGTGAGGAGCGACCAGCACTGGCGCGAGGTCGACCGCTGCCTCGCCTACCTCGCCAACACGCGTGACACCGCCCTGAAGTTCATTGGTGGACCTGAGTCACTGGAGCTGGTCGGCTACGTGGACGCCGACGACGCCAGTGACAAGTAGAACAGGACGAGCACGGACGGCTACGTGTTCGTCTACGGAGAGGCCGCAGTCGCCTGGTCGAGCCAGTGCATCAAGTGCGTGACGTTGTTGTCCACCGAGTCGGAGTACGTTGCGGCCACGGAAGCCAGCAAGGAGGGACGTCGTCTTTGCTTCCTACTTGCAGAGTTCCAGCAGCTGGATGATGGGAAGCCGACCGTCCTTCGGGTGGACAACAAGTCGGCAATCACAGTCGCCGAAGGCATGGGGTTGACGAGCAAATTCAACCACATGGAGCGGCGACAGGCCTGGCTGCAGCACATGGTGAAGCACTGGAAGTTCTCGCTGAGGTACATCCCGACCACTAAGCGGCCGGCCGACTTCCTCACGAAGGCGCTGCACTATCCGGCCTTCAACTGGTGCTCCGTCGCCATCGCCCAGGTGCGCTTGGCCGACGTGGGTGACGAAGTTGACGAAGTGCAGTAGTAGGTGTCATGCCCTCTTGCATGGCTGGTGCGGTGGACGACGTGCTGTGTGTTGGGTGCGCGTTGACGGGCTATTCTTCGAGCAGTACTGCCGTGTGGGCTGGGGGCCCAAGCGTGAATGCGGCAGGGGAGTGTCAACGGGAGTTGTGTGTTGGCCTCGTCCTTGCTTGGGCGGAGCCGACTTCGTGGTCGGGTGTGAGGGGAGCAGCCAACCTGCAGCAGTGGGCGAGCTGGTTGACGAGGAGGTCGACCTGCACGAGGACCACTGCACGGGTGCCGACTTCAGGGTGGCGCCGACTTCAGGGAGGTCGACCTGGTTAGTCGACCTACGGAGGGGGTCAACTTGGTGACGCCAACTTGGGGCAGCCAACTTGGGTGGACGGCTAACAGGCCTGCTGGTCGACTTGGTGGTAGGTCGACCAGGCGTGATGTCGACCTGGTGGTCGACGTAGGAGGGGCCGACGTCGACCACAACTCAGGACGCCAAGCAGCAGGGCGTCGAGTAGTTGAGCGTCAACTTGGTGACGCCGACTTCGGGTAGCCGACTTGGGTGGTCGGCTGACAATTGCGCTGGTCGACATGGAGCTGGTCAACCAGGAGTGACGTCGACCTGGATCTGGTCGACCAGGGACGTGGTCGACTTGGTGAGGTCGACTTGGGGTGGTCGTCGACTTGGGAGGTCGACGGGTACGTACAAGAGCAGCTGGTCGACGTGGTTGCCCGGTCGACCAAGTTACCTGGGTGACAAGGTTCTGCGCAGGAGTGCGACGGTCGCGCAAGCGAAGTTGGCGAGTCTGACCTCGGTGGTGGTATCCCGAGGTCGACGTGGCTGATCAGATGTAATCGTCAGCGTCAGGCTGACTTGGTGTGTGCGTTGTGCAGGTGACAAGGCTTAGCACGCCAATCATCTGCGAGCACCTGCGAAGCTGGTGCGCTGCTGTTCTGCGGGAGCAGCCTTGGCACGCCTTCAACCTGCGACGTTGGCACGCCGTCGACTTTGCACTGCTGGAGCGCAGTCGACCAAGTCGTGCTGGATCGCAGTCGACTGACCTGAATGCTAGCTCTGATGTAGTCTTGCCATGCCAACTTCTTTGTACCATTGCTGTCAACTTTCTCTAGTGAAGCTCTTGCCAAATCGCCTCGTGAACTAGCAAGCAGTGTGTGCACTAGGAAAACGACTAAGGACCAACGAACGCAGAGATCACACGAGCACCCGTGCCTAGCCTGTAGTCTAGCTCCCGTTGTAGTAGTTATCTCTGCAGTAGGTGCACTCACCCGCCACACAAACAAGCCCTTTTATCCCAGTGGTTAGTGGCTGGGATTCTGACAGTTGTGTGCAGTAAGGTCTCGTTGACACAGGTTCCCGTTTTGCGTAGACTTGGGTTATGTACTTACTTTGTTTGTACTCTTTGCTTATACCTCGGTGAACTCTTGAACAGGCCTTGTTGCCCTTTTGCCTAGGCTGTGTGATGACGTTGTGATCCACCCTGAGATTTGTTGTTTAGTGACTGATCTTGTGACTATACGGTTTTGATTTTGTTTGAAACCCCTCACTTGGGCTATGTTTGTCATATGGGGTACATTAGTTAGGGTTAGTTTTTCTTGCTATTGTGATGTTAAGCAAGTGAGGATCTTCTCATATTTTTCTAGCTCCCCTCTTCTATCTTTCTCTCTTTCGATGCAGGTGAAGGTGCTGAGGGAAACGGACAGGGTGGGCCTAGACGGCAAGAAAGAAAGGAACGATGTTTAACCTCTCTTTGCACTCCTTCCAATCAATTTGCACCCCTCTCTCTCTCATTTCTGCAGGTGGTGATGAGGGAAGCAGACCGAGTGGGCCTAGACGGCAAGCCGCCGTCCAAGGGAGCGGCGTTCATAGAGTTCAGTGAGCATCAGCACGCGGTGACGGCTCTGAGGGCGCTCAACAACCACCCCAGTGAGTGAAGCATGGTGCTGTGCAGTGCTGTGCTGTGCGATGGTTTGAGTGCAGGGCGGTGGTGTGCTGTTCTTGAGACGGCAAGCCGTAATCCAAGGGAGCGGCATTCATTGAGTTCAGTGAGCATCAGCACGCTGTAGCAGCGTTGAGGGCTCTCAACAACCATCCCAGTGAGTGCAGTGCGGTGCTGACGACAACTGCTCTTATCCCTGCTTCACTCTCCACATCACTTGCGTATGCTCGTTTCTCCTTTGCGCGTGGTCCATCCTCCATCAGTCCCACGTGCTTTTATCTGTGCTTCTCCCTTACATCTGTTCCCTTCCCAACCATCTTTTCTCACAATCATCACACAGTGAAGTTGCGATCAAAATCATCTCCATACTGATGCAGCCTTCTATCCCCATCTTCTATGCACTTCCTTTCATCCCCCACGCCTTCCCCCCCCATGTTCAAGACCCTCTCCTCCCTTGCAGCTATCTTCTCTCATGACGCACGGCCCATAGTGGAATTTGCCATCGAGAATGTATCCATAGTGAATCAGAGGCAGCACACGTCCATTTCCCCACCCCTTTATCCGTTTCCCTCCCTCACTTATGTTCCCCTCCTCCATCCATGCCCCACCCGTACATTCTTGCACCCGTCTTCTCCCGTGATGCTCGCCCCATAGTGGAGTTTGCCATCGAGAATGTCTCGGTAATGAAGCAGCGGCAGCACACGGTGAGACATCAGAGCGACAGGCGACAGACAGTGCGGCAGCAATAGAAGCAGGAGAAGCGGCAGCAGCAGCAGAAAGAAGTTGGGGCCACTGGTTTGGGCAAAGCAAGGGGTGCAAAGAGAAAGCCTGAGGAGGGTGAGGCACTTGCTGTTGGTGATGCTTAGGGCTCTCCATCGAAGAAGAAGCAGAAGCAGGTGAAGGGAGGGAAAGGGCAAGGTCAGCAAGAGAGACTTTGGAAGGGACCTGCGAAGGATGTGAAGGGGCATGCGGGTGCACAGGTGCAAGCAGGCACTGCAGCAGGGCAGCAGAATGTTGGTGTGAAGGCACCGGGTGGAGCAGAACGGGGAGGGGCGAGCGGGAGTAGGAAGGGCGAGTTAAAGAGGAAGCAGAAGGGTTCAGCAAGGGGCGCTGGTGTGTCTCCTGCTGCTGCAGTGAAACCTATTGCTGCCTCTCCTGCGGCTGCTTTGAAAGCTGCTCTTGCTGCCGTAAGTCCTGGTGCTTAAAAGGCAAAGACAGACCCACAGAGGGGAAAAGCAGTGGTTGCAATGAAAGCTGTTGTTGTCTCTCCTTCTGCTGCAGTCGGTCCCGGTTCTAAAAGGGCAAAGACAGACACACGGAGGGGAGAAGCAATGGCTGCAGTGATGGAGGCTAGGCGAGCACAGGCACCATTAGCTGGGTTGGGGGGAGGTGGAGGGGGGGAGAGGGGCAAGGCGAGGAGCAAGAAGGGGTCGGAGCACCAGGAGTTGGTGGATGAACTTGATAGGCGCGTGGCGGCTTACAGATCAAAGAACTATGGGTGATAGAGGTATTGGGAGGGCGGGAGTGCGAGGGAGAGGAGCAAGGGGCTGAGCAAGAAGGGGTCGGAGCACCAGGAGTTGGTGGATGAACTTGATAGGCTCGTGGCGGCTTACAGATCAAAGAACTATGGGTGAGAGGGAGTAGTACAAGGGAGCCGGAGCATCATGTGCTTTGATTGGCTATGAGTCTGCTTGATGAGCTCGCAGCAGATTACAGGTGAAGAATCGTGAAATTACAGTTGAAAAGATAAAACATTGAAGATGTGAAGAGCAAAATAAGATTGAAGGCAGAGCCGTGGCATACACTCTATTGTGATTCAATTCTTCTTTATTTCATGGGGCTGGCTGAACAAGTAGCTAGTGTAGTCTTTGCTTTTCTATCATTCAATCACAAATACATGAGTGCTACAAGAGACTCACTGGAAACTCAGATAAGTTGTGATACACTAAGAAGTCAGTGTTCTGGTGTACCCGTAAATTTGAGCCTTCAGCGTATGCGTTGAATATAGAATTGCCTCATTTAGTGTGAGTATATATGTAGCTGGTTCCCCCCGAATTATTAGTGAACCAATGCTTATAATAACAAAGAGAGTATTTGTGTGCGCATGTACTATGACGAATTAAGAAAAAACGCAGGTTTGACAATATGGACGGAATAAACAATGAATGATAAGAGATGCCGTAATATAGCGGACGAAACTGCCATTTGGTTTGGTTTGGAGAGCTTGTGACGGTGTCCATTTTTGTCTCTTGCCACGATGCCCTACCGAGTCAAGCATACAGTATCCCAAATATCCTTTGTGAACAGTCGGAATCTTTGTGCACCATACGTCGGAAATCAGTCAGAACTTGCGTATGCACACCACCAAAGCACAAGCAAGCCAACGTATCTGACCGAGCCTGCCACCCAGACGCAATGTTAAGGGGGGATTTACTGTTCATTCCGAACAGTACTTTCCAACTCACCCTTATCCTTATCTTCCTTGATTTCCTAGTGCCACGTGGCACTCTACCTTTCTTGCCTTCAATTCCTAGTCCCACGAAGTACTTTCCGACATTCGATCTTGCATGTTATATCAACCTTGCTTGTACTTGCCATTATTAATCAATTCTCATTCAACTCTTCTTCAATTACTCAATAACTTCTTCGCCTATTTTGCCAATAGTTCTTTCGCCAAAGTCTTCCGCCGCATTTCATCCTCTACTTAGATGACCCCGCTAATTCTTTAGCGGATTTAGGTCGTCGGGCCTAACACTTGGTATCAGAGCCTTCGCGGGGAGCGACTTCCAACGAACGACCGTCGACGACGAGACTACGACGTCATCGTCCCGCGGTGCCGACTTGCAGACTTGGAGTCGTCGAGCGAACATGGACGAAACCATGCACGCTCTCCCCCACGACATGGGCAACACGCTTGCCGAACTCATGCGCCAACTTCAAGAGTTGACGTTGGAAAATCGTCAGGTACAAGCTGAAATGCAACAGCTTCGTGAATTGGCTTCTAACCCCCATGGTCATGCCGCACCAACTCTTGCGCCCAACACGTCGACTGGCGCGGAAGCGCTGCCGGAACGTCGAAGCGCGCTCAAGCCGCAGAAACCCGAGTCGTTCGACCCAAGTCAACGCGACGCGAACGTGCGGACGTGGCTCTTCATGCTCAACAACTACTTCCCCGCGAGCGGGGTGCAAGAGGCGGACGCGCAGCAGCGGATCGAGTACGCCGTTACACTGCTGAGGGGCCCGGCCTTGGAGTGGTGGCGCCAACTCACGCAAACTGCTGTAAGAAGGGCTCAGACAGACGGGCATCAACAGGGCGTGGGGCATGCAGCTGCAACTTCGAGCTTAGGGAGTTAAGCTTTGGGTGTTACCACGGTTCCGACCACATGGGAAGGATTTGAAGCGGCGCTAAAAAGTAGGTTCGATTTGGTGAACGCCTCCGAAGCTGCTAGGAAGCGTCCGCGTCATTTCCGACAGATAGGAAACGTCCAGGAGTACACACGACGGTTCTTGAGCATCTGCAACGAGATAGACGATATCACGGAAGCAGAGATGCGCGATCGCTACCTCGAGGGGTTGAAGCCGGACATAGCAGAAGTTATAGCGATTCATGGGTTGTCCACCTTCGAGTCAGTTGTCGCAGCAGCAGAACGTGTCGACGCAGTACAAAGCCGACGAGGTCGTGACGATCGCGATAGGGGATACAACAGACCGATCAACGACGCTCGATCGAGGGACGGACCATCGCCCATGGAGATTGGTGCAGTTAACAGTGACGGCTCACAGAAAACGGGATTTAGGGGGAACTGTCACTACTGCAAAAAGCCGGGACACATGAAGCGAGACTGTCCACAGCTTAAGGAGCGGCAGCAGGGAAACGGAAACCGCCAGTTGATAGCGGGTCGCTAGCTGGTGTGGAGGTTCCCATACCCGCCACGTCTACCAGCGTAGAGGAGACGGCGTTGGAGCAGTGATCTACGGAGAACGAGGTAGACACTGTTGACCGACCAGTCGTGCTTCTAGGGAAGCTTCGCGGAGTTCCTGTTAAGATTCTCGTAGATAGCGGAGCTAGCCACTCGTTCGTGTCTTCATCGTTAGTCAGCCGCCTCCATCTCGAAACAGATTCCGCAGTCAACTTCAAGGATGCTCGCATGGTAGATGGGACGCCTCTCCACATAGGACCGATCATTCACAAGTTGCACGTAGTGCTAGGACCGATCACAGTTAGGCGTGATTTCGACTCTACGACATTGGACGGATACGATTTTATCTTCGGGAGAGATTGGCTACGCATGATTAGTACTCAGCTCGATTGGGCTCAGGGAAGCTGCAGCGTCAAGGTAGACGGGGAGTTCCGGGAGCTGCCACAGTGGAGCGATGGGGCCACATCATCCACAGCTATCATTAATGCTGTTCGTGTGCGACATTTAGTGAAGCATACGGCACGGATCTTCGCGGTTTTCCTTGAGGAGGTGGAAGCTGAGGAAGGGAAAGGAGGGAGTGCAGCAGTTGGTGCGAAGGCGACTCTTCCTGCTGAGGTGAGTGCACTATTAGCAGAGTTTGCAGACGTCTTCCCCGACGAGTTGCCCCCAGGGTTACCTCCCAGCCGAGTAGTAGACCATCGAATAGAGTTGGAGCCGGGGAGCATGCCAGTAGCGAAGCCGCAGTGGAGGTTGAGTCCAGCAGTGACAGAGGAGATGACAAAGCAGGTTAGGCATTTCCTAGCGCAGGGGTTCATACAGCCATCTAGATCGCCTTGGGCAGCACCGATCCTTTTCGCACCCAAGAAAGACGGAGGGTTACGGATGTGCATAGATTACCGCGCACTGAACGCCGCCACCGTCAAGAATAGGTTTTCGGTGCCAAGAGTAGAGGATCTCCTAGATGCAGTGCAGGGCGCTAGAGTTTTCTCCAAGATCGACCTTCGTTCGGGTTACCACCAGATTCGCGTAGTTCCAGAGGACCAGCACAAGACGGTGTTTCGTACGAAGCAGGGGTTGTACGAGTTTAGGGTTCTACCGTTCGGATTGACCAACGCCCCAGCGACGTTTCAGACGCTCATGAACACAGTCCTCTCCGAGTTCCTAGGTTCGTTCGTTGTAGTTTACCTAGATGACATTCTCATATTCTCCAAGACAAAAGAGGAGCACGTGCAGCACTTGCAGAAGGTCTTCGAGGTTTTACGGAGGGAGCAGCTATACGCTAAGCAGTCGAAGTGCGAATTCTTTCTCCCTAAGGTCGAGTTCCTAGGACACGTCGTATCCGCTAGTGGCATTAGGACCGACCCGAAGAAGATCGCAGCAGTACAGGATTGGGTAGCATCGACCTCAGTCAAGGAGTTGCAGAGCTTTCTCGGATTCGCCAATTACTATCGTCGTTTCGTTCAGGGTTACGCATCGATCGCTAGTCCACTCACCAACCTACTTCGGAAGGGCGTAGAGTACGTTTGGGGTCCAGCGCAGCAGCAGGCGTTCGAGAAGATGAAGCAGTCGCTCACGTCTTCACCGACATTGTCGTACCCTAATCCCACTCGCCCATACGTTGTAGTGACCGACGCTTCAGATCAGGCCATAGGAGCAGTGCTTCTTCAGGACCAGGGCCGCGGGTTGCAGCCGATAGCGTACGAGTAGCGCAAGCTTAGGGGAGCCGAGCTGAACTATCCGATCCATGACAAGGAGGCGCTCGCGATCATCCATGCGTATAAGGTGTGGAGGTGCTATCTAGAGGGGGCAGATAGTGTTATACGCACGGACCATTGCTCGCTTCGCTTTCTCAAGTCGCAGCCGCAGCTGAGTCATCGCCAGGCTAGATGGATGGAGTTCATGGAGGGGAGTTTCCACTACAGGATAGAGTACAAGCCAGGCGTGCGCAACCCTGCAGATCCACTTACTCGCCCTAGTTGCCAGCTCGCTAGTCTCACAGTCACTGCCGGCCACCCACTTCTCACAGCACTCTTCGAGCACGGTTACACAGTAGATCCCGACTTCACACCGCAGCCGCCCGCAAGAGCAGAGGTGCGGGGTAGTGTCTACATACGGAAGGGTACCACACGGATTTGGGTTCCAGCCTACCGCCCTCTTCGACAGCTCCTTCTCTCAGAGGCGCACGACGTAGTTAGTGCAGGGCTCTTCGGAGCAGATAAGACGGCTAAGACGCTTAGTCGCACGTACTACTGGCTCGGGCTTGCAGCGGACGTAGAGGATTACATTCGCTCGTGCGACACGTGTCAGCGTACGAAGTCATCTCGCCAGCGCAAAGCAGGACTCTTGCAGCCGATTCCACCACCCGACTGCCCTTGGCAGGTAGTCACCATGGATTTCATCATGGCTTTACCGCGCACAATTAGGGGTCACGACGCCGTCTTCGTTGTAGTCGACAAGTTCTCTCGAGCAGCGCACTTCATCCCCACGCACGGCAAGGTCACATCAGAGGAAGCCGCGACACTGTTCGTAGATAACGTAGTCCGACTGCACGGGGTTCCAGATTCCATCATCTCGGACCGCGACCCTCGTTTCACTTCGAAGTTCTGGAAGCAGCTTTTCGCACTGTTCGGGACTCGCTTAGCCATGTCGTCTGCGTACCATCCAGAGACAGACGGACAGACCGAGTGTGTGAACTAGACCTTGGAGCAGATTCTTCGCAGCATCACGATGCATGACGCAGCCGCATGGGACAAGAAGCTGAGCATGGCCGAGTTCGCCTACAACAACACGCACCACTCATCTACAGGCATGTCACCGTTCTTCGCACTGTACGGTCAGCACCCCAATGTCCCCGCTCGTGTCGATCTCACACCCACTGTCCCTTGTGCGGACAACTTCCACCAACCGCAGTCGTCGTGAGGTGTCGTTCACAATCGGCAACCGTGTTCTCTTGGATAGCCGCAACCTCCGACTGCCATAGGACAGCAAGCTTCGTCCACGTTTCATTGGTCCATTCGTCATTGAGCGCGCACTAGGTCCAGTCGCATACCACCTTTGCCTTCCCGCTCATTTCCGCATGCACCCGTCATTCCACGTGTCGCTTCTTCGTCCTTACACTGATCCCAATGCCACCTTCTCGGGCCGTGACCGCACTCCACTGCCGGTAGCTGTTGACACCGACGAGCCCGACTACCAGATCCAGCGCATCCTCAGGCACCGTCGCCGTCTCTAGGGGGGTGTCTCTTTCATCGACTTCTTGGTTCGTTGGCGTGGTTACGACGCAGCAGACGACAGCTGGGTTCCTTCGTCCTCGCTGTCTCCCGACAACGCTTGCCTCCAAGCGTACCTCCAGTCTGCAGGCGCCACGGACGTCGCCTCCTTGGGAGGGGGGTAGTGTTAAGGGGGGATTTACTGTTCATTCCGAACAGTACTTTCCAACTCACCCTTATCCTTATCTTCCTTGATTTCCTAGTGCCACGTGGCACTCTACCTTTCTTGCCTTCAATTCCTAGTCCCACGAAGTACTTTCCGACATTTGATCTTGCATGTTATATCAATCTTGCTTGTACTTGCCATTATCAACCAATTCTCATTCAATTACTCAGTAACTTCTTCGCCTATTTTGCCAATAGTTCTTTCGCCAAAGTCTTCCGCCGCATTTCATCCTCGACTTAGCCGACCCCGCTAATTCTTAAGCGGATTTAGGCCGTCGGGCCTAACACGCAATGCCATGGTGGCATGTACGGTATGCAGGTTTGGATGGCATCCAGCCCAGAGTTAGTCGGGAATGCAGCTCAGCTTGGGAATGCAGCTCAGCTTGGGAATGCGTCTCAGCTTGGGAATGCAGGCCAGCGTTGCAGCGTTGAAAGCGATGTTTTTGGGTGTTAGAATAATAAGAACGTAAGGGCCTAGGCTTAGGAGCCTAGGCCCAACTTAGGTAGCGAGTGAGTTGGGCCCAAGGGGGAGAGTCGAGAAAGTTGTGAAAGGAGAAAAGTGGTTTCACTATAGGTTCAAAGAACATATAGTATAGGAAACAAAAGGGTGCACCACCTAACAAAATTTGCAATAACTACACTAACTACAGCTACAGGCAGTTACAAATATAAATAATATAAAGTCTGACACTCCCCCATAACTGCCTGCAGCAGAAGTTTGTGCAGAACACAACTTGCAGGGGTACACAAGCAACACAAGCAAGATAATAACCAAGCAACAGCAGGTACTGCAGGCGGGCAGACACTAACTGGTCACCCCCTTCATCACCTCACCCTCCTCCCTCCCCTCCCCCACACTGCTGCAGGAGCAGTAGAGAGGGGGGGAAGAGAGGAGAGGTGGAGGGACGGCTGCTGGTTGCCTCACACCCTTCACCCCGGCGCCTCTCCCCCTGCTCCCCCACACCCTCACACCCTCCCCCCCAGCGGCAGCTGCAGCAGTGGGAACAAAAGGAGGAGGAGGGGAAGGGAAGGGTACGACCCACACTCCAACACCCTCCACCCCCATACCCTCCTCCCCGCGGCTGCAGGGAGACAAAGGAGGAGGGGGGTGGGAAGGAAGAAAGCCGCAGAGCGGCGAAAAGGTGTCGGTGCAGTGGTGTCAGGGGCGGCTTCAGGGAATGCAGGTGCGGAGAGCACCGTCGCAGGCGCCAGGGGCGGGTCCGCGGCGGCTCAAGGGCACCGCCACGGGCGCCAGGGGCGGGTCCGCGATGGCGCAGGGCACCGCCGCGGGCGCCAGAGGCGGGTCCGCGGGCGCCAAGGGCACCGCCGCGGGCGCCAGGGGCGGGTCCGCGACGGCAAAGGGCACCGCCGCGGGCGCCAGAGGCGGGTCCGCGGGCGCCAAGAGCACCGCCGCGGGCGCCAGGGGCGGGTCCGCGACGGCAAGGGGCACCGCCGCGGGCGCCAGAGGCGGGTCCGCGGGCGCCAAGAGCACCGCCGCGGGCGCCGAAGGCGGGTCCGCGGGCGCCAAGAGCACCGCCGCGGGCGCCAAAGGGGGCGGGTCCGCGACGGGTAGAAAATAAAAACGTCACGCGCCCGTGGCGCGTGACCAATAATTCAGCAGCGGAAGCTTTGGTCGGGCCCACAGGCCAGGACCAACCTGCTCTGACAACCATGTTAGAATAATAAGAACGTAAGGGCCTAGGCTTAGGAGCCTAGGCCCAACTTAGGTAGCGAGTGAGTTGGGCCCAAGGGGGAGAGTCGAGAAAGTTGTGAAAGGAGAAAAGTGGTTTCACTATAGGTTCAAAGAACATATAGTATAGGAAACAAAAGGGTGCACCACCTAACAAAATTTGCAATAACTACACTAACTACAGCTACAGGCAGTTACAAATATAAATAATATAAAGTCTGACATTGGGTTGCGAAGCGACCCTTTACGATCGATTTTGACAATTTTTTTTAATGGTTTTTTTTAATAAAACATGAAAAAAAAGTTGTAAGCTACAGTATCACACTTCCCATTGTGCATGTTGAAGTGTTTTGAATGTTGGTAGCAGTTTTTGTAGTAGTTTTGTGCATAAATGCTATAATGTTTGTATTATATCTTTTCATGTTTGATGTAGTGATAATTGCATGTATAAATGTTATGAGTACTAATAATGAATTACACACCACACATGCTTAAATGAATGAAATGATGAGGCATGATATATAGGTGCATACCTAATAACGATACACGCATGAAAATGCATTTGTATGCATATGATATGCTGAAATGCACCACACCAGTATATCATACAAATGCGTGAAAGTTAACGACCCAAAAACTAGGCTACCGCATCCCCTGCCTAGAATGGGGGGGAAATCAATAGCAAAGTCTTTGAATAATCAACTAGCACATGAAACAATACAATCTGCTAACTCTAAAAAAGAGGTTCACTCTATCAAATCCAGTTCAAAGTGGCAAACACACGAGTCACTGAGTGCGCCAATGAACCAATGAGAAATGATAGAATTGAACCCCATTTTTAAAATTAGCAGACATGCATTGATATTGCTATGCAGAATTTACACACACATGTACACACACATACGCATATATACACACACATGCACGCACATATACAACCATGAGAAAAGAACGAGAATGATTGGACTATGAAAGAGTTGGGTACAAGTACTAACCCTAATTGGGTTGTACCCCTTATGGGCTACCCCACAACAGCCTACACTAATGTATAAGCTATAATGTTCTGACACACCCCCATAGGCAAAGTGGGGGAGAACAAGGGGTCACAAGACCAGTCAAGCAAAGTAAAGCAAAGCAAGCTCAGGGTGGATCACAAAGTCACCACACATTCCGAGCACAAGTTCAAGACCACAAGGCCAGTTCACATGCAGGATTATATATATATATATAAGGCTAGACAAGCAAGAGCAGGTGTGTATATATATATGCAACAGTACAAACAAGGTCAAGGAGTGAGCAAGTGAGGCAAGGCGGGCACAAGACCCAGCTGAGTACAGAAGCGCTGATGATCACAAGGAGCAAGTGCCTTGGTGAAGATATCAGCAGTGTTGGCCTCAGAGGCCACGTACGCAAGTCGAAGCTGACCACGCTGCTGTAGCTCACGAGCAAGGAAGTAGCGGAGAGCAATGTGCTTCGTTCTGTGCTCCAGTCTCTGCTCTCGACACAAGGCTAGCATGGCCTTGTTGTCTACGTACAGCACTGGAGGAGAAGGAGGCGGCTCTCCAAGGTCAGTCAGCAGGTAGGTGAGCCAGCGAAGCTCCTGTGCAGCCATGGCCCCAGCGTAGATCTCAGCCTCACAACTGGAGCCGAGAACAGAAGACGAGCGGGTAGCCCGGTGTAACCCTGTGACGACCGCTGCGTAGCCTGGTCGTCAGCCCAAGAAGCGTCTGCGTGCCCAATGAGGACCACTGGACTCTGCCCTCCAAGCACAAGCCCCATGCCCGGCGTACTGCACAAGTAGCGCAACACCCTCTTCGCTGCAGCCATGTGCTCCGGTCTGTGTCTCCCAGGAGCAACATAGCGTGCAAGAATGCTAAGAGGGTATGCAAGGTCAGGTCGTGTGCAGGTCATCAGGTACATGAGGCAGCCAACAAGCTCTGGGTACGGGCCACTCGACTCTATAACCTCATCCGAAGGCAGACCTGAGAGCGAGTGGCGAGTAGACAGAGGAGTGGCCTGAGGCGAGGAGTACGTGAAGTGGAAGCGCTGAAGGACCTGCTGCACCATGTGTGACTGAGTCAGGGTAATGGTGCGGCGTGCTCTGTCCCGGGTGATCTGCAAGCCAAGGTAGCTGCGCAGTTCACCCAGGTCTGTGCACGTGTGACTCTTCTGCAGCTCGAACTTCACGTGGGCGAGTCCAGCAGTGTCACCTGTGGCAAAGACCAAGTCGTCGACGTACACGAGGATGTAGAACGGCGGCAAAGAGGTGTTGGTGCGCAGAAACAGCGACGGGTCGGCAGTAGAAGGAGCAAACCCAAGAGCCGCAAGTGTAGTCCTCAGTGTGTCGTGCCACTCACGGGGCGCCTGGCGGGACCGTAGACTGGCCGCCAGAGGCTCCACTAGGTGCCAGAGGGAAAAGACCCAGTGAAGCCAAGTGGGCGACGTAGCCAGATCTCCTCGTGCAGGCTGCCCTACAAGAAAGCAGTGCTGAAGTCAAGAGAGTGCAGCTCGTAGTCGCGGTGAGCAGCTATGTGCAGCAACACCCGAAGAGTGGTCATCTTCGGGGTGGGAGAGAAGGTCTGAAAGTAGTCAACTCCCTGCCGCTGACTGAAGCCACGAGCCACGTAACGCGCCTTGAAGACAGGCGGAGAACCTGACGGTCGCTTCACCCTGAAAATCCACATGCCACTGACGATGTTCGCCCCAGGCGGGGGAACCTCGTCAACGTAGGTGCCTCTGGACTTCCAGGAAGCCATCTCTGTGTCCATAGCTGCCTGCCACTGAGACGAGAAGGGACCCTCTATCGCCTCCGCGTAAGAGCGCGGAGTCGGGATGTCAAGTGCATCCGGGTCTCCCTCAGGGGTAAGCAGTACGAACACGAGATGAGGTGAAGCAGCAGCCAGACACTGGAACTCCTCCTGCCTGTCCTCAAGGACGTCCGTGCCAAGGGCACACTCACCCCCGACGGACGGAGGACAGACAGACTCAGCGAGAAGACTAGCAGCGTAGTCTAGACAATAGCGAGCAGCAAAGTTGACGAGCTCAGCAACTAGGGCAGACGCAAAGGAGCACGACAGAAGCAAGGAGACGCGTGACCGTAGGACTGGCAGCACGAAGAGAGTCCGACTCTGGGTCGGCAAGAGCAGGAAGAGAAGACTCAGGAGGAGAAGGCAAAGGGGCACGCAGAGGAGCAGTAGACGGACGCAGAGACATCCGGTGCGTGCCAGGGACACGAGGAGGACGCTGACGCGAACCACGACCACTACTGCGAGCAGCACGGACAGGCGACGCAGAGCGAGACGCAGGCTCACGACGCTCAGCAAGACCTCCAGTAGGACCAGTGTAGGGAGAAGGAGCAGGCAGTGGGGAGGACGGCTGTAACTGTAACTGTGACGGGAAAGGCTGTGGACACTCTAAGGGAGGAGGAGGACCAGTAGAAGGCGGGAGACCAAGAACCTGCTGAAGGAGCGGAACGAAGTACGGCCGAGGCCACGCGGCAACTTCAGACACAGCAGGGACAGCACTAGCACCCCCAGCGGCAGCACCAGCGCCAGGAGCACCTCCAGCTCCTGTACCTCCAGCAGCACCAGTAGTACCCCCAGCAGGACCGCCTCCAGGACCGACAACAGTAGCCTCAGCGCCAACACCCTCAGCAGCTCCAGCTCCAGACGTACCCGCAGGCCCAGCAGCTCCAGTACTCCCAGTACGAGCACCTCCAGGACCCGCGGCACCAGCACCCTTAGCAGCTGAAGAACCTCCAGCTCCACCAGCACGCCTCCAGCGCCGGGCAAACCACTCACGCAGCTCCTGTGGAGAGAGGGGCTCCCGTCGAGACGAAGCACCCGGAGAACCTACAGGCCCATCACCGCTAGACGCCATACGTGTAGCCCCAACTCCCTCAGGCTCCGCACCCCCAGGCGCAGCACCTCCAGGCGTAGCACCCCCAGGCTCAGGACCCCTAGGCATAGCACCCCCAGGCTCAGCACCCCCAGGCTCAGCACCCCCATTCGCAGCACCCCCAGGCTCAGCACCCCCAGGCTCAGCACCCCCAGTCGCAGCACCCCCAGGCTCAGCACCCCCAGTAGTAGCACCCGCAGGCTTAGCACCCCCAGGCGCAGCACCCACACGCTTAGCACCCCCAGAGTCAGCACCCCCACGCTCAACACCCTCAGCAGCACCAGAGTCACCAGTAACCTCGACACGCTCGACTGTGCCTACCTGGGACACACCTGAAGGGGCAGGACCCTGGGGGGGGAGGGGGTCTACCGGGGGGGGACCTGGTACAAGGAGGAGCGGTGGCGGGGGGAGGGACGGAGTGCGGTAGGGGAAGAGGCGGTAGTAGGGGACTGACTCGTCAAACGTGACGTCCTGGGAGGACAGAACACGGTGAGAGGTGGGGTGGTAGAACTGCCACCGTGGCGCGTCAGGGGGGAAGCCAAGGAAGACGCAAGGAGCAGCACAAGGGGACAGCTTGTCCGCAGACAATTCGCGAACAAACGCTTGAGATCCCCAGACACGGAACGCAGACGCATCGCCAACATTCCCCGTCCACAGCAAAGCTGGGGAGGTCTCCGGCATGGAGACCCTGGGGTGAAGGTTGATCTGATGCGCCACGTACCAAACCGCAAACGGCCACAGAAAATGGGGGGCAGCTGCATGCATCATGGACGTACAAGCGACATCCATGACCATGCCAATGCGGCGCTCAGCAATCCCATTTTGCTGTGGAGAGTCCGGAAGCGTGGAGGTCTGGCGGATGCCTCGTGCAAGACAGTAGGCTCGCTGAAGGCCAGAGGAGAACTCTCCGCCTCTGTCAGAGTGCAGACGCAGAACAGGAAAGTCCGAGCCGAAGCTCTGCCTGAGCTGGAGAGTAGCTGCCCGGATCCAGTCGATCAACACCTCAGTGACATCACCCTTGCTGCGCAAGGGGAAGACTGTGGTGTAACGCGAGTAGTCGTCAACCACCAGCAAGAAGTAGCGCTCGTGACCCTGTCCACGGACACGGGCCGGGCCCCACACGTCCATGTGAAGCGTCTGCAGCGGGGCCTCTGTCGGAGGAAACTGGGAGGAGTGAGGGGCAGCCCGGTGCCGCCCCTCGACAAAGGGGACGCAGGTAGGGCCAGGCCCCGGAGGTAGGGGAGGGAGAGACTGGGGAAGACTAGAGACAAGGACACGGGAGGCCATGCTCCGGAGACAAAGTAGGGAGGGGTGACCAAGGCGGTGGTGCCAGAGGAGAGTCTCGTGAGACAGGAGGCGACACGAGCAGGGGGCAGACTCAGGACCAGACCTGGACGCTGCAGCAAACACCTGACCCGACGCAGCTACCTGACCAGAAGGGGTGACTAGAGGAGACGCAGTGGTCAGTGTGTATAGGCTCGACCCCGGCCGACGTGTAAACGTGGCCAGGTGTCGGCCTGTCCGAGCGTCCGTGCAGTGGGTCACCCGCTGACTCGCAGGAGTGAACTAGTGAACCCCCGCATCCTGTAGGTCAGCACCACTCACCAAGTTCGTAGAGAACAATGGGAGGTAAAGACCAGACAGGGTGCCAGAGGGGGCCACCGGACACGGGAGGACAGTGGAGTAGTGAGCAAGGACAGGACCCCCAGAGGGGTCTGCCAGAGAGACTGCAACTGGCCGGCCAAGCGGCGTGAGTGTGGTGCGGTCTCGAAAGAAGGAGCGAGAAGCCCCCGAGTCAAGGGTGAAGGTGTGGGAGGCCGAAGCCGACACAGTACCTGAGAGCAGACTCCCCAGCACCTGAGGGAGCAGACGCACGAGCACCTAGAGCAGCAGCCTCGCTAGCACCTAGAGCAGCAGCCTCACCAGTACCTAGAGCAGCAGTCTCAATGCCTGGGTTGGGCGGAAAACACCGGTAATAGTCACCCTCATCACTAATTGTCACAGCATACATGGCAGCAAGAATAGCATCAAAGTCAAGGTCAAAGACAGCTACTCCCGCCCTAGAAAGCTCGCCCCAGCGGGGGATCTCAGTGGCCTCCGGGAACTGGTGACGCCAAGCGTCCGTCAGGCGGCCAATGCAGCGCTGGGTGGAGTGCGCACCCCCGCAGTGCTCACCTGCGCGGTCGCCGGTGCGTAGGACGTAGGTGCACGGACCAGTACCCCCACCCCGCTGGTGTGCAGCGTACCACTCACGGAGCTGCTGAGTGGAGGGGATGTCACGAGTGCGCTGCTGCTGCTGCTGCTGCTGGCGCTGACCACCACCGTAGCTGACCCTCTGCGCAGCGCCACCCCGACCAGCTCCACCTCCACCGCCACTGCCTCCTCCACCGCCGCCACCTCCGCCACCTCCGCTCCCACCGCCACCGCCGCCGCCGCCTCCGCCTCCACTGCCGCCACCGACACCTCCACCCCCGCCACCACCCCCACCGCCACCCCCACCCCCTCCACCGCCTCCACCGCCTCCTCCACCGCCCCCGCTAGCTCCTCCAGCGCCCCTGCCCCCCTTGCCCTTGCCAGGGCGGCATCTTCTGCTAGGGGTAGACGCCGCACCGACCGACTCAAGCTTAACGAGGTCGGCCGCAGCAGCAGAGGCAACAGAGGGCAAAAGGGGGGAAGGGGAACAACCCTCAAAGATGGGGGTGCGAGGGTCACCACGAGAGGCTCCTACAGCTACTATGCTCTTCTCTGCTGCTAGGAGGGCCTTCTCGAGGAGGTCAACGGTGAGAGTGGTGGGGCAAACTGAGAGGAAGTGGTCCCTGACTACGCGAAGGGAGTCAGGGAGCCAAGTGACTATGTAGTAGAGGGTGATGTACATGGGGGGGGGGGGGGGGGGGGGGGGGTGTTGGCGCAGAACTCAGCAGGAAGCGCAGCGCGGTAGCGAGTGTCACTAGTGCGGAGGTGCGTAATGAGGTCAGCGACTGTGGGAAAGGCAGCAAGGTTAGGGAAGAGGTACGGTAGCATGAGGCGGCTCAGTGCAGTAGTGGCAGGGGAGGAGTAGCGTGCAACTACAGCGTCGTACAAGGTCTGAGCACTCTTGTACTGACTAAAGTGCGCACGCTCAGAGATAGGCAGGTGGCGACGCACAGTAAGACGTGCAGCAGCATCGCGTGTGGCCCACTGTGAGCGAACAGTGGCGTCCGCATCAGCAGCAGGGGCAGGAGAGGCACCAGAGGTGAGGTCAAAGAGGGAGAGACCGTCTGCCCTATCGCACTGTAGGAAAAGCTGCGGGTCATCTACCCAGACGTTAAAGTCAATGGCCCGACCCTCAGCGTCAAAAGTGAGGACACTAGGGGTAGCCATGAAAGCAATAGACTAGCAGCGCGAACAGTAGGGTAAGGGCAGTGCAGTGACAGAGGCGCTGCTCTTACCGGAAAGGGCGGCTTGGGCGGCTCGGCGGCTTGGCAACTGGGCGGCTCGGCGGCTCGGCGACTGGGCGGCTCGGCGGCTCGGCTCGGACGGCTCGGCTGCTGGGCAGCTCGGCTGTTGGTGGCTCGGCTGCTGGGCGGCTCGGCGGCTCGGCTGCTGGGCGGCTCGGCGGCTCGGGTGCTGGGCGGCCCGGCGGCTCGGCGGCTCGGCTGCTGGGCGGCTCGGCTGCTCGGCGGCTCGGCTGCTGGGCGACTGTGCCGCTAAGGTAGGCGTGGCCGCGAAGGGCGGTGGGGCCGCTGAAGTGAGCGGCGAGGGGGCCGCAGAGGAGGTGGTGGGAGGGCCGTTGAAGGGGCGGCATCGAGGCCGCTGCAGGAGTGGCGACGGGGCCGCTGAAGAAGGCGGTGGGGCCGTTGAATGGGCGGCGACGGGCCGTAAGGGGAGGGCGGCGACGGGGCTGCTGTAAGGGCGGCAACGGGGCCGCTGTAAGGGCGGCGACAAGGCCGCTGTAGGGGCGGCGACGGGCCGTAAGGGGAGGGCGGCGACGGGTCGTAAGGGGAGGGCGGCGACGGGGCCGCTGCAAGGGCAGCGACGCGGCCGCTGTAAGGGCGGCGACGGGGCCGCAGGTGAAAGGGCGGCGACGGGCCACAGGGGGAGGGCGGCGATGGTCCGCTGAGGGCGGTACGACGGGGCCGCAAAAGGGGCGGCGCGACGGGGCCACGAAGGGGCGGCGCGACGCGGCCGCGAAGGGCGACGCGACGGGGCCGCTAGGGAAGGCGCGACCCGAAGCGCGCTTCGGGCAGGGGCGGGATACGCCCCGGGCAGGAAAAAAAAAAGTCGGTGGGCCCTAGGAACAGTTCCCACTAGGGAACCTGCTCGATACCATGAGAAAAGAGAGCAAGAATGATTGGACTATGAAAGAGTTGGGTACAAGTACTAACCCTAATTGGGTTGTACCCCTTATGGGCTACCCCACTACAGCTGTTGAGATACTAGCGTGACTTAGGCTTAGGAGCCATTGCTAGTGAGTGTCTTAGTAGCTTAGGTTTAGGGTTGAAGATGAATGTCGAGAAAGTTGAAAGTAGAATCGGGCTTCACTATAGGTTTGCAAGAACATATAGCAAAGGAACAAAGAAGGTGCAACACCAAACAAAGCTTATAATAACTACACTAACTACAGCTATAGGCAGTTACAGATATATTCTGACACTCCCCCATAACTGCCTGCAGTAGAAGCTAATTCAGAGACACCCCCTGAAGGGGCACACCAAGTGCAACGGGCGGCAACGGGCAGCACAGGCTCGGGCAGCAACACGCGGCAACGGGCAGCACAGGCACGGGCAGCAACGGGCGGTAACGGGCAGCACAGGCACAGGCACCAACAGGCAGCAACGGGCAGCACAGGCACGGGCAGCAACAGGCAGCAACGGGCAGCACAGGCACAGGCAGCAACGGGCGGCAACAGGCAGCACAGGCACGGGCAGCAACAGGCAGCACAGGCACGGGCAGCAACGGGCGGCAACAGGCAGCACAGGCACGGGCAGCAACGGGCGGCAACGGGCAGCACAGGCACGGGCAGCAACGGGCGGCAATGGGCAGCACAGGCACGGGCAGCAACGGGCGGCAACGGGCAGCACAGGCACCGGCAGCAACAGGCAGCAACGGGCAGCACAGGCACGGGCAGCAACAGGCAGCAACGGGCAGCACAGGCAGGCAGCCGTACCGAGTCCTGGAGCGGCGGCGCATACAGCTGTAAGGTCGGCGCCGTGGGCTGCTGCTGGGGCGGCTCGCGGGGTCCAGGGGCGGCTGCTGAGGTCCAGGGGCGGCTGCTCCAGTGGCCAGGGGCGGCTGCTCCAGGGGCGGCTGCTCCAGGGGCGACGCTGGTGCAAGGTAGGCCCGCGCGCGGCTGCAACGCTTGCGCGGGCACAGGTGAGGCAGAGGCGGTGGCCAGGGGGGAGTGCGCCGCGAGGAGCAGGGACGGCGCCCAAGGGGTGCCGCTACGAGCAGGGGCGACGCCCCAGGGGCGCCGCGACGAGCAGGGGCGGCGTCCAGAGGGCGCCGCGACGAGGAGTGGCGACGCCCCGCGGGTCCCGCAGGGGCGTCGCGACGAGCAAGGCGACGCCGTGCGGGTCCTGCAGGGGCGTTGCGACGAGCAGGAGCGGCGGCGCCCGGGTCCCGCAAGTGCGTCGCGACGAGCAGGGACGGCGCTTCGCAGGGCGCCGCGAAGTGGAGGGTACGGGCGGGCAAAACAGGCCCGCGCGTGGACGTGAGGCAGGCGCGCAGGCAGCGTGAGGGCAGGCCACGCGCGGGGTAGAAAATCGCCATGCGCCACGCCGCGCGCCTGAGCGATAGGCAGCGGAAGCAGGAAGGCAGCAGGAAGGTACCTGCTCTGAATACTATGTTGAGATACTAGCGTGACTTAGGCTTAGGAGCCATTGCTAGTGAGTGTCTTAGTAGCTTAGGTTTAGGGTTGAAGATGAATATCGAGAAAGTTGAAAGGAGAATGGGGCTTCACTATAGGTTTGCAAGAACATATAGCAAAGGAACAAAGAAGGTGCACCACCAAACAAAGCTTATAATAACTACACTAACTACAGCTACAGGCAGTTACAGATATATTCTGACAACAGCCTACACTAATGTATAAGCTAGCAAACCACACACACAGAACCATACGCATTCGCACAAAAATAGTTAATCACACAAGCATTAGCAATGCAGTCGACGATATAAAGTATATAAAAACCCAAAGCGAGATAAGTTCTGTCTAGTCAATCTCCCACCCATGTTTTCTGAATTGACATGTTTTTCGTGCCATGAATTAACCAAAACTTCTCTTAGTCAGCTCCACGGGTCTTGGGCTTCACAGCCGCTGCAAGGAAATACAAAATTCAAACGTAAGTTGAAAACACAGTAATAAGTTATATAATTTTGAGACAGTCAAATTATTAGTACAAAATCACCAATACACGCACATCAAACCTCCTCTTTGTAGGTGTTGAGGATGGTTGTGTGCTCGACGTGTCAAAGTTGACAGGAGTCGCACTTGACTGCGAGGCGCTCGTAATATCAAGTATGGTCTTGATGACGCGCCCTTCCTCAAGACCAAAGTGAATCTGTCAAAACAAAGGAAAGGAGGAGGAAAGAAGGGAAGGAGGGAAGGAAAGAAAAAGACGAAAAAAGAGATTAGAGAAGGAAGGAAAGAGGAAACATAAAAAAACTTATAGAAGGAAAAGAGGGAACGAGGGAAGGAATGAAAGCAAGAAGGAAGTCAAGTTGAAAGAAATGAAGGTGTACATGAAATGGGAACGAAGTATAACTGGTCACAACTCAAACATAAGGTTTTAGATAGTGTAGATGATAAATATAAGTGTTGGTACATAACACATCCGTTGTATATGTAATACGCTCAACTATCTTGGAGAGCCAATCCACGTACCTTTACAAGCCAACGACCTCGAAGAGCGGCCAACATGCGTTGGCGCTCCTCCGAGGGCAAAGAGAAAAAGGTGGACATCTGAAGATGCGGGACCACCTTGGTCAAAATGCTCGGTTGAATAACCAAGCCATGCGCTTGAGCCGTGTATGACACTGGAAAAATAGGAAGACATAATAGCAAACCTTATTGCGAGAATACAACATGCAAGATTGTACACAAAACATATGCATACGGTACTTACCGCTCTCTTTTACGACAAGCGTGACGGTGACATTGTCAATTTGGGTGATTGACGAGGATCCATGCTCGTCGCATTCGTACTCACGCGAGAGACATGATCGAAAAACAGGCAGTCGACAAACAGAGTCCCCCGAACCACCCTTGCACACTCTGCGAGACTTGTGCAAAGGATCCTTGATTTCAGCAACGAGGGACGCTATCTTCTCCTCTTTTGATGTCATCACGAGTGTGTCCACACTACTCATCCTGAATATGAAAAACGGGAACATTACTAACGAATGTCTTACTTATATACTGTTAATATGCGCTCGTGTGTCGACTTACAGCTGCACGAGGCCGACGTCTTGTGGTTCCTCTGTGACGTGAGCATCTGTGATCTCCAACGCTCGTCGAGAGTCAAGAATGACAGCGCTGGAAAGCATTGTTGTGGTAAACAATGCTGAGTTTAGATAGACGTTGCTAATGTAAACAGGCACGTCTGTAGCATCACTGTGCTCGTCCAAGTATGTCTTACAGCACTGATGAATCCGTGTGGCAGTGTCCCCCAAAGATACCAAGACGCTGCGAAGTGTCGAATCGTGGATGCTAGCTGTGAGCTTAGGCAATCCACCCGGCGACTCAAGCGAAGGGGCGCTGAGCTTGACAGAAATGCAAGGGATCTGGGAAGGTAGAAAAGTGAAGTCTGACATCATGAATATGAAACACATGCATTTACAACTCAGTAAGTGGCGATATGACAAATGATCATCTGCAACGTAAGAACATCAACCAAA